TTGGGCCACAGATTCGAAATATTTTGAAAGATACACAGTTTGAAAACACTTTAACAGGTATTGAAAAAACTGCTTGGAATGATTTCCGTCTGGTGGTCACTAATTTCTTGGGAAATAGAAAAGCTGACAACTATAAAACCCTTGTCAAAAATATGCTGTCATCGTATCAAAAGATGGGCTGTATTATGTCTCTTAAGATACATTTCCTACACTCACACCTGGACTTTTTTCCTGACAATTGCGGAGCCGTAAGTGATGAGCACGGCGAACGTTTTCATCAGGATATTTCAACAATGGAAAAAAGGTACCAGAAACGATCCATAAAAGAACAGCAAAAAGACAGCGCATATAGTGATTCTTATAAGTATATGAATCTTGTTACTGTTTTTAATATATCCTTAAAGTAAAAAGTTTTTTTCTAAACCGCAACTAATTTTTTTATTTCATTATCATTTTTGGATTCAGCGCCCCAAAATTAACAAAGAAGTGCACTTTTCCCACAAGATACAATTAAAAAACTAAAATTTGTTGTCCAGTGTAATGATTTGATACCATTTGTGAAAATAGTATCTGAAGAACATCCTTCCTCATTGAATACTTTTGCTGAATCTCTGATGTCAGCTATCTTTTGAAAAATTTTAATGGCCTTTGCCTTGCCTTTATTGAAGAGAGCAGATGCTGTGTCACATCCAGTCAAATCATGCAAACATAAAATGTGTGGTTTAACGGTGATGTGAGCATCGAATCTTTTTGGAGAATATATAACTGGGTCGATGTTTGATTTTCTAGGCTTCATAAAATAAATATCTTTATTCTCAGGAACAAGAGCTGTCAATAAGACCGATAAATTTACATCATTCCCAACAATTATACTCCGATTTTCATTCGTCAATTCAATTGCAGTATTTATAATGAGAAAATCAGCATCATCCTCTGCTTGCACGACGTTTATATGACTCTGCTTCAGTTTTACACACAATATTGTTATAAAACTGCTATTTGTTGTTGACATTGGCGAGAAATTTCTCTTGAGTTGTTGTCAGAGTCATTGATGGATCAAACATAATTTCTGTGCAAGTACCGGTTTTTGCTGATCGTCGTTGTTGTTCCATTGCTTTCGTGTTATTACGTTGATTGTTATAACCGTCGAAAACAACCGTAACGTTCCAACCAAAATGATTTCGTAAATAATTAACATAACAATAAAAAATAGCATCATAATATACTAAGTGACATATAAATCCGAACACCCAGTTTAAATGGTTTTATTTTAATAAAAGTTGGTGAATGTATTTATCTTACTGTAAATAACAAGTGAAAAAATTTTCAGCCTTATCAGTTGGACATTCCGGTTTTTATACTGCTTTTTTTTAATTCACTAACGCTCTAAAAATGGATATTTCAGCCGCAGTAAAGAATCAACGTTGGCGGATTTTGGTTCTTGACATCCTTTACGATCGGTTACGATGCCTAGAGTACGGAGACCTGTACGATTTCGTCAACTTAGTGAGTTTGATAGGGGCCCTATAGTGGGACTTCGGGAAGCTGGACTTTCTTTTCGGACAATTGCAGTTAGAGTGCAAAGAAGTGTAGACACTGTGGTTAGGTGTTGTCAGGCATGGCTTCGGGAAGGCCGTACGCAAAGAGCAAGGGGCACAGGACGCCGCCGTAGAACAACAGACTGTGAAGATCGCCGCCTAAGATTATTGGCCTTAAGGGACCGTTTCTCCACTACCAGGTCCATTGCGAATGAATGGTTTGCAGAACACGGAAGATCTATTGCCATGCGAAGTGTTTACCGACGAATGAGAAGTTTTGGCTTGTTTTCTTACCGGCCACACTGGGTCCTCCCTTTAACTCGAGAACACCGACGTAATCGCCTTGAGTGGTGCAGACAACGGTCACTCTGGGATCAGGAATGGAACAGTATTGTCTTTAGTGACGAGTCTCGATTTTGTTTAGGCATGCACGATGGTCGTGCCAGGGTTAGAAGGCGACGTGGTGAAAGGAGGAATCCACAGTTTTTTGTTGAAAGACATGTTCATCACACTGTTGGAGTTATGGTTTGGGGTGCTATAGCTTACGGTTCCAGGTCACCTTTAATCTTCATCAGAGGTAACATGAACGCGCAGCGTTATATCCACGAAGTTCTAGAGCCCCATCTTTTACCCTATCTTGACACCCTGGCAGATCCAACTTTCCAACAAGATAATGCCCGACCACATGTTGCAAGAGTCACAATAGACTTCTTTCAACATAATGATGTCACATTGTTACCATGGCCACCAAGATCTCCCGACTTATCTCCAATTGAGCACGTGTGGGATATGATGGGTAGGAGATTGCTCAATTTGCAACGTGCTCCTCAGACTCTAGAAGCACTTCGAGAGGAGTTGGTGGTTGCCTGGAATGAGATGCCACATGAGGACATTGACCACCTGATCAGAAGCATGCCTAGGCGCGTTGGAGAATGCGTAGCACATCAGGGTGCATCCACACATTATTAAAGGTCAAAGGGCTTTAAAGCAGTGCAATCATTTTGAAATTTTGATCGTTTACTTATTATGCTTCATTAAGTACCATTTAAACTGGGTGTTCGGATTTATATGTCACTTAGTATATGTAACTTCTCTTAGCAGCAGTAATGCTACTTGCACGAGTATATTCTTTGCGACACACCACCTGCACTCTGATTGATTCAACACTCCGCAAAATGTTATTTTTCCATCATTTCGCTCGATACTGGCGTCACCTAAGATTTTAATACCGCGCTAGATGCAAACAGTCGCTTTGTCTGACAGCGATTTGTCGCAAATGATGCAATTTTCGGTCATTTTTCAATGTATATGTGAATAATATCACGTAAAAACTGTCTGAAATTATCCGACGCGTCTGTATACAACTGAGAATAGCAGAATACTGGTCTGAACACTGGTCAAATGACGTCAATGCCCCACAGTCAGGTATACAGTGACGTACATTCTAACAAAGAAAAAAGGGCCAGCTGTGCTCTAGGTCACAACAGGGGACACTTATAGAGCCCCTACCACAAACATTCAAAAAGAAAACGATTTCAAAATACGGTTTGACGTGAAATTTTTGTCAATTACAACACTTTCAAGCAATTTTCTGCAAATTGGCAGTCTCTACAAAAAATGCATAGAACCTTTTTTGCGGAGAATTTCATACTGAACAAAGAAGGTGACATTTCATTTTATCGTAGAGTTGATATTTTAGAAGATATATGGAAAAAGTGTCATCTGTCACCTTTGACCCTCATAAAAAAAACTCCACTTGGATTCATGGGGACTTTTGAGGAATGATTTATAATGTTGAAAGGAAGCTCTGGTGAAGAATTCAGCCAGGTGGGATTTTTTCAGCAGATTGGCGTTCTTTCCGTCTAATAGTCCTGGATTATAACAATCGAAGTAGATTTCATTTTATTACTACGCTATTGAGTACATTCAGCTAACATGAGATGGTCCAATGGTGCAGCGCTTCCATACTGGATAACAGTAGCCGTGGAATAACTTTGACACTTCACATAATTTGATTAAATCAACTCCAGCAGTCAAGTGAAAACTGCCGTCGAATTGTCAATTCCAAGGCTTCTGCTATTCACCATAAAAGAGCAGCACCGCTTTATGTTCGCTGAACGCGCTCGGAAATAACGCCTTTGAAGCCATCATGCCTGTGAGGCATCAACGAACAAAACAACATCGCCAAATTAACGATGCGTCCAAGATGGACACTAAACAAGCGAGCACAAATAAAAACGAGGCGTTCCTCCCCACTACCGAGCCCCAGTACGAAGCAAGTCCCTCCCCTCCCTGCCCCTAGCGCACCGCCGGTACGACTGAGCGACGCGGATCGAAGTGCGGCCTGCGTCGCGACCATCGTCGACGTGGTTCTACAATCCTCTAGCAGACTGTCAACGCGGGTATTATCGGAAAGCTCCCTAGTTTAGCGGATAGTGCGATAGCGGGCCTCAGCAGGCCAGATAACGCATTCGATATGACAACCGAACCAGATTATCGGACTTACGGTGAGTTGATAAAATTTTATATACATAGATTATTTTATAGTTTACTGTGTGCTTAGTTGTACGGGCTTAGTAGGCGGTTTTCCTTTTTCTATAGCGCACGCATGTACGTGACTGCGGCTGATACAGTGCGCGAATTTTGTCTGCTTTCACGACACGTGTATCGGTTGATATTGATGAATGAAGGACGCTATCGATCATGCTGCTAGTGTATGTAATTCTGTCATTTCATATCTTTTACGTAAACCGTTTGTCATTCACGTATTAAACACCGGTCCGTCCTATTTTTCATAATTTTTCAGTATGCGGTATAAGCTAACATGTTTTACGATATAAAATTAGCATGTTCAAAATACACTGGAACGATAATAAATTGACGGACGATCGATGCTATCAATCATGAATATGTAATTCTGACATATGTCTCTTAATGGCCACCTTGATTTTCATAGTCTTCTCTCCTCTTCAAAAAGGCTGGCCAGTTTATAAATTTCTACTGTTGCGTGAGGCTGTGTTTTCATTTTGAATTGTAAGAAATTTCAGGCTGATATAGCCGTGATATAAATCCAAATCATGAACAATTTGATGCAAATAGATATTTGTAACATAACCTCAAAATAGAGCGCTGACACGGAACAGTAGATAACTATGAAAATCAAGGGGGCTAGAAAGGCCTCCTACAATTATTGTAGGACTGACGATACGATCCTTACGTGCACTGATCTAGAAGGTGGATAGCACTCATAAATAATTAAATTGTCTTTGTAGCCACGCGCAAACGTGGATTTTAGTTTTCTCTGGAGTGATAACAACTTGAATGCCAATCTCGTGTACTGCATCATCAAGTGTTACCATAGTAATTAACCTAACAGGATTGGCAGGATTTAAGGTGATTGATATGAACTATTGTGAATTGGATGAATACCCTGTATAATTCTAAGTTCGTGGTATTACTCACCATGTTGTGATTGTAAATCAGCAATTTATTGAATACGCAAGTAGATGTTTTCAACGAGAGTGCAAATAGTGCGTTCTTTGCACCCAGTCATCCATTCAAGAAGAACTATCCGATCTGACATGCGTATCACAGAAGAGTTAATAGTCATTTCAGTCAGAACAGTTGTTTGTATGGATAATAAATAATTTGCAAATGATATTTTTTATATATTTATAGAAATACAGCTTTAGTATACCAAACTTTAAAAATATGCAGCCATATTCGTTTCGTTATGCAATGCATATTCTACAGAATTATCCAGAAACCACGAATTGCCTTTATCTCAGAATTTTGATCTCAATTAACTTTTCACCTTTGGCGGTCGTTGTGTCATAGTCATTGTGATGTTTAGTATTTGTTCACATACACATTCTTGCTCTTATCAAAAATCCGGATGATGATATTTGGGCTCCGATATACAGGGTGTTTCAGTTTATTGTTGCATAACTTTAAGATTCGATAGAACTTTTGAAATTAATGCATAAAGTCTATATAAACATGGGTCGAAAAATGCGTGGCTTCCGAAATACACGGTGTTCAAATTTACTTTCTAAAATAGTTTTTTTTAAATATTTCGAATAATATTTGATGTATAACAGTGAAAATTGGTATACAAGGGTTTTTTGGTACGAAAAAACGAACCATGAGCATAGTTTTACTGTAGCCGCTACAGGGCGCTCTCTACTGTACCTGTAGTGTATTAAAATGACCAAAATTTTTTCTTAGTGCAATTTTTTGCTTTTTGAATAAAAAAACTGATTCTTCGCACTTTTCAACATGAAAAAGCTTTCTTGTGAATTTTCGTTATAGTTAGCCGTTTTTGAGATATTTCGATTTTTAAGGTTCGATGCATTTTTAATTATTTATGATAAAATAACGTTAAAAAGTCAGTATCTCGATAATTTTTAGAAGTAGGCTGTGCCTGCAAATATTTTTGTAATTGAAAGCAGAATAAGGTTAAACGTCAATTAGTTGACAGTTAGTTTTGCTGTCTGTTGAAAACTGAAACGTTTTTTTGCAATTGTGAATGCACGAAATTTAGTTTCTTTCACCTGTTTTTTTTGTAAGTTTTATAAAAATGCCGTTGTTATTCTCCAATCAAGAGTTAGCGGATATTCATTTTTTGTATGGCTTTGTAAATGGAAACGCAGCAGAAGCAGCCAGAGAATACGCACGAAGATTTCCAAACAGACGACATCCAACTCGCTCAGTATTTGTAAGAGTGCATCGCCAAATAATTGAAAATGGTTTTGGAAATCTCCAAAGGGATCAAAACATAAATGTTCGTCAGCGCAAATTTACCCGTATGATTCTGCGTGAGTTTGATAGAGATCCAACCACAAGTGTTAGGAGAGTTTCTGGTGCCTTGGAAATATCAGCAAGCCATGTTCACCGTGTTCTTAGAAATGACCATAGACGTCCTTACCATTCGCAACCTGTGCAAAGACTAGGGACGGAGAACGAAGAATCACATTTTGTCTGTGGATTCTTGATAGAACTGATAATAATAGGGAGTTTTTAAGTAACGTTTTATGGACCGATGAGTCATGCTTCACTAGACGTGGAGTGGTAAATTTTCATAATCAACATATTTGGTCGCATGAAAATCCGCATGCAGTTCGGGAAAGAAATTTTCAGCATGAATTTAGTGTGAACGTGTGGATTGGTATCTACCGTAATCGACTATTTCGACCCTACCTTTTGCCTGCAAGGTTAAATGCTGCGACCTTCTTGGAATTTTTAAAGGCTGAACATGCAAATATGTGGGATGATGTTATGTTAGATTTAAGAGGATTGGCCTGGTTCCAGCTTGATGGTTGTCCAGCTCATTATTCGAGAATAGTTAGAAACTGGCTGGACGAAAATTATCCAGAAAGATGGATCGGCCGTGGAGGACCAGTCGCCTGGCCTCCACGATCCCCTGACCTAAATCCATTAGATTTCTTTGTGTGGGGATTTATAAAAGAAAAAGTGTACCAGACTCCCGTAACCACAAGAGATATGCTAATAGACCGAATCAGGAATGCATGTGATGAAATAGATTTTGTATGTTTGTCCTAAGTGTTTTAGTTGTAAATAATTAATTTAACTTGTTAAAAATAATATTGGAAAATTAAACAAATTAATATTCTGTTTTTTTTTGTGTTTATTTGGAGTTAGGAATTATTGATGTGTTAAAAACACAATCTAAACGATCGTCTTAATTACGTGTGATGCCCAAATCGAAAATGTAAAAAAAATATTATTTTCCCATAAATAATTAAAAATTTTAATACACTACAGGAACAGTAGAGAGCGCCCTCTAGCGGCTACAGTAAAACTATGCCCATGGTTCGTTTTGTCGTACCAAAAAAACCCTTGTATATCAATTTTCACTGTTAGACATCAAATATTGTTCGAAATATTTAAAAAAAACTATTTTAGAAAGTAAATTTAGACCCTGTATTTCGGAAGCCACGCGTTTTTCGACCCATCTTTATATAGACTTTATGCATTAATTTTAAAAGTTCTATCGAATCTTAAAGTTATGCAACAATAAACTGAAACACCCTGTATAATTACCATAGTTACTCGTTGTAAATTAGCCTTTTACAACCTTTTCATATTTTACTTCATGGTGACAAAAACTATTTGTACTATTATTTTTGTCATTGCTGCAAGTAATCTTTTTGTTTGTTGAAACATTAACCACAACAACAAAAATACCAAGGTATTGTGGAAAGTTGTTGACAATAATAACGCGATAAACCTTAAGAATGAGGTGTATATCATAAATAACAGAGGCATTTTCTGCAAACATTACGGACCCAGAGTTTTTATTTTGCTTTTCATCCTTACTGTGGTAATTTTCTCAAATTCGGACAATTACCATGTTTGGCTACTTTGTGTATCGAATAAATAAAAAAAGACGTTGCCACTTATCCATTAAATGACTTTGTCTTTATCTCAAACTGTAGATACCTACTCTGTTTACCGAATCACAAATAAGATAATAAATTATAATAATGCAATTTAAAGCTAATGATGAGGAAATTATTTAGCTCTCCTTTTATGATGAGTCATTCAACAACAGATTTCTAGTAAAAACATGAATTTTATAGTATCTATTTCTTGTGAAAAGTTGTTCTAGATAAGAGGTCGAAGTCTAAGTTTAACATACCTACTATACCGTAATAATTCGTTCAGCAAATTTACTTGTAGGTCTTGCCCTGCTGTAATTGGTTTCTTTTATACAAGCTTTTAACTTGACCTGTTTGTTAGTGTGGGAAAAACCTTGGAACTGACTTTGAACCAATCAAACTTAACCAACTGAGCTGCAATTTTGTACACACATTTGGTTCGGGTCACAATACAAAATAAATTAACTGCCGCCATTTTGGATTCAATATGGTGGATGCTATTCCATAGTAACCCCTATGACATAGCTATCAAATGAAAGAGCTTGATGAGACAAAAATAATAAGCAAAGTGACGTCATGCTAAATCCAATATGGCGACCGCAGCAAAATGACGATTTACAATTTTCATAGTCACCCATATGATATTGGTATCAAATGTAAGGACTTGATGAGCGAATGAGAAGAAATACTTTGAAAATTATTACATTGAAAATTACGTTTGAAAAATAACGACAGCTGCAAAATCAGCTAAATACGAGCACCTTCCCACTTCAGTTGGCCCACTTCAAGGTTTGTACCAAAATATGCCTTTATAAACTAAACATGACGAAACTATTTACTTCTAAAACAATCTATTTTCTCAAAAACATTTTAGATACACTGTAGTACACTGTAGAACCCCATCTTTTACCCTATCTTGACACCCTGGCAGATCCAACTTTCAAACAAGATAATGCCCGACCACATGTTGCAAGAGTCACAATAGACTTCTTTCAACATAATGATGTCACATTGTTACCATGGCCACCAAGATCTCCCGACTTATCCCCAATTGAGCACGTGTGGGATATGATGGGTAGGAGATTGCTCAATTTGCAACGTCCTCCTCAGACTCTAGAAGCACTTCGAGAGGAGTTGGTGGTTGCCTGGAATGAGATACCACAGGAGGACATTGACCACCTGATCAGAAGCATGCCTAGGCGCGTTGGAGAATGCGTAGCACATCAGGGTGCATCCACACATCATTACAGGTCAAAGGGCTTTAAAGCAGTGCAATCATTTTGAAATTTTTATCATTTACTTATTATGCTTCATTAAGTACTTATACAAAATTTTATTAAAATAAAACCATTTAAACTGGGTGTTCGGATTTATATGTCACTTAGTATATTTAATAAAGGTTATGTTATCTTTTTAGTTTTCGCTAGTAGTAAACTGCAATATCATGGATCCTTTTGAATTTGTTAAAAAAATTACTTGAAAAAATATTTTTCTGTCTATATGATATATAAGATATGTTCCAAAGGTTCTCGTTATTTTTTCAGTTAATTTATTAATTAGTAATATAGTTAGGTTCTTCAGCATTTTAAAATAATTAGTAATTACAAACAACCGAAATGGGCGCTCAATTGAATGCAAAACACGCTTTAAAAAAATAATATATTTTATTTTTCAGATAATAGGACATTATGAGCCACTACTTAGTCAGATTAAATTATTTTTTATATAATTTTTGAGTTAAATCCGACAATCATAGCCCAATTGCGAAAAGTTTTATGTGTATTTTGACCGTAACTCAAAACTAGTTATAAAGCATATAGCGGGTTTTGTATACGGACTCCTCGTTTGTTTCTAACATGATCAGGGCATTCCTCTACGTTGTCCGTGTAAAATCAGTCGTTTCCCTTCATTTCAGAATTACTCAAAGTGAAATACTTCATCTAAAATAATGATTTTTCCATTGGCAAGGTGTAACCACCTCAGTTGACGATAGCATCTTGGTAGCACTTAAGTATCTTTCGTTATTTAAGACCATTACTCATCAATTCCAAAGATATCATAGATACTCCTAGAAGATATGTATTGACCAGTCACTCTCCCTGTTGACATTCCAATCTGATTTTTTGCTCTTTTCAAGAATCTCTCTGACCATTGTGCAGTAAATGTATGGTATATCTGAAGTCACTTGAAATAGCATAAAAACCTTTGGTCGGCGCGT